TTGAAGAAGTGACTTCTTCAATAATTGCAATAAGCAGTCTATTTCTAATCTTAATTCCCTAATAAAAACTTGATTTGTTTATGCAAGCATTAATTATAAATATAGTTGACTGCATATGATTTATAATGACTATTGAAATATATTTATTTGTAATATTATAGTCAGCCAAAAGTTTTTAATTTATTAGTTACTTGAATCGACGTATTAATCATATATATTATCAATCAAATTTACATAACTTGAATAAAAAAATTAATGCCATATTGAAAAATTAGATTATATGTAGAGAATTTAAATATAGTATGTAAATGTAGAATTTATAATTTTATTTTATATTTTAAATGCAACAATTTATTTTTGTAAGTTGTTGGAAGCTTACGAAATTGTGATTTAAATAAACTTTATGATAAACTTAAGAAATTGTGATTTAAAATGTAAAACTTTCGTGATTACACATATTTTTAAAATATCTGTGATTTTCCTAGTAAATAATTTTGATAAATTAATTCATTCCATGAACATATGGTTTTATGATTATTGGTTAATTTGATTGGATATTTTGATATTTTACAGCGTTTTTTTTCTCTTAAACGAATAAACTTTGTTCAGACAATATTATTTTAATTAAACTGTATTAAATCTTATAACATCTTTTACTGGTTTTTTTCTTGTAAATCTCTTTGAAAATTTTTTTATTCAAATCTTTTGTAATTTGTTTCTTCTGTCATCTCTCAAGATATAAGACATTATTTTACATTATATAAATGTATAGTGAAAGACTAATTTTTTAAAACTTACATTAAAATTATCATATTTTTAAGATAAGGAACTATATTTAGTAATTCTATAAAAATTTATGTAATTTGGCCATTCCTACTTCACTAAAAAGTTAAGTTTGTAGGATATTACACGTGAATAGGATACAGATTAAAACGAATCTTCGTTTCATTATATACAAAAATCAACTTTTTATTAGAAGATATACTTTTAAAATGTTACTTTTGATTTATTTGATTTTATAAAAATTAATAATGAAAGTAGAAGTAGGCTACATCAATTACAAGTGAATTATACAATTGAGTAAAATAATTCGTCTAATCTTAACATATTATCAAGTTACTGCAGTTCAGCTTTAAAAGAAAAAACAGTTTGATAGAAATGCCGGACGGACAAAAGATGACAAAAATAAGATAAATAGATAATGTCAAAAAAGACTGCCGTATCTATAGGTAGAATCTGAAATTGGATCATTTTTTTTCTTCTGATGATAGGAAGTGATGAAGCAACATATAAGACTCATTATTTTTATTTAAACTGATTAATAATAGATGTGTTACATCGCAAACTATTGACACATTACAAAAATAGATGTGATTTTTAAAGAAATTTTTAAAAGTTGTAATTATCGATATAGAATTATGCAAATGTAATAATAATAGTTCATAGGATTTTTACATTATGTCGGAAAATCGTAACAGTATAAGTCCAATTAGGTTAAAAATTATTATGTGTTTTAATTCACACTTTAAAAATTTTCTCATATTTTTCTGTTTAATAATCGCCAGTCGCTAAGTGCATAAATTTGTAATTTAATTGAAATTCATATACATTTCAAAAATTTATAAAAAGAAAAAAAAAGTCGCTACTTCAAAATTTAATTTAGTTGGATCTAGAATTATAGTTTTAAAGTTTTATGTTTGATTTAAATTGACCCAAATGATATGCCTTATCCTAGAGCGGCTTATCGCTTCTTATGTTCAATAAATAATTCAAGTCAGACTAAATAAAGAATAAAAACAGCAACTCCGATTTTCTAGCACAGAGAATAGCGACTGCCACCTGTTACCAAATGCATGCCTGAAGGGGCCATGACAGGGGATATACCTCTAGGCCATTAAGTTTAAGTAGTTCTCTCATGAGTTTCCAGAAATTTGACCGATTGTGACCGCGCCGACCATACAATTACTCCTTCCTGTAACACAAAAGTATTTGGAGTAGTAATGAAAAACCAGTGGACCAAGTAGCTGAGGGATGCTGACCACGACTTATCGCTTATATGAACAGTGGCTCGACGTGTCTAACATATTTTACGTTCTTTAAAGTAATTTAATTGATTACAAAAACGAAGTAATGACGAGACGAAATAATGAGACTACCATTGTCACCTGAATTTTTCTTAAGAGAATCTAAAAGAATACTAATTGTCAATGAATTTATCAAAACTAACATAAATTGATAGTTTCCATGCTGAATTTTTAAAACCGAAAATGGGCTTAGTTTATGCAGATTTATATTAAAATTAATTTAACTTATTAAATATAAACCACAATAATTGATTTTAATCTCAAGAATCAATAGAAAATATCATTTAATCTCATATCATTAAATTTAAATAATTGTAGTAAATAATGACAAATAAATTCAAATTCATTTATTTTTTGAATGACACTAACTAAAGTGTAATTTTTATATTAAATATATTTACTTGTAAATCTTATAAAATTATATGATTAATTGTATTAAAACGATAAATAGTCATAAGGTAAAATAAAAATATTCATTTCAAAATTTGGAAAATTGCAAACCTGACAAAAAGAAGTATCTATATTGTATAGCCTATATATTGTAATGTAAAAAGTGATTATTTAATAAATAAACAATTTTAAATAATTATTTGTTTATTACATAATCAATAATTAATAGTCTATAGATTATAAAAATAATTTTATTTAGTAGTGTTAAAAACATCAATAAATTATTTTTATCCAAAATAATTTACAGACTGTTATTCATTTCTCTGATATATTTCATTTTAAAGACATTTTTAATAATAATTGATACTTAAACCTGCATATCATGCCGTATCGCCCATAAAACATACAAGTATTAACAATAAAAAATAAATATAACTTCTTCTCTTTATAAATAGTCACTGCAAAAAGATGATGATAAAAGAATAACGCAAGATATAGAAATTGTTCAAAAATATATACAGTATTAAGAAATTTCAATAGACAATGCTTTGGATGAATATAGGAAAGGAGTAGAAACGACTATTTTTCTATTCGAGAAAGAGTTGTTTAAAAAAGTAAAAGTAACATGTTTTCTTATCTACTAATTATTGATAACTTCCTGCAATTGGTGCTTTTATTTAGATATTATCTGAGTAAAAATCAAATTAATATAATTCTTAAATACGTTAGTTAAATTTTTATATATTATATTTTATGAGAATTTAATTCAATTTTTTCTTTTATATTTTGCCAACCAGACACTAATAAGTCTCTTAATGCAATGAGGGATTGATGTCTGATTTGGATCCTCAAAACTTTTTGTGAGCTGATCGGCTCAGAACATCGTATCACAACCTTCATTTATTTTTTCAATCATCATTGGAGTGAATTGTGTCCGTAATTCCCAAAAATTATTGAGACCTAAAAGTCTTACAGGCAGTGTCTAAAGAAGAAATCTTCGATTCGTTAATTTTCAAAAAAATATTAAGTTTGTTTCTTATGAAAAATAAGTATAGCTAGTTGACAGGACGAATTTAAAGTACAGTATGTTGTTTTACAGTAAGTAAAATTGCTAAAATCCGAAATTACTATAGAAATTGATTAGGCTAAATTTATAATTCGATTATCGATAAATAATAGGCCTACTCTGCATTGATAATTTCATTTTTATTCATTACGAATGTGTCTGATTCATAGTTAGGTCGACTAGCAGAAAGGAGTGATGAGCGATTCGAATTGCTCATAAAAATAGATCAAATCTGAACACTACACGGCGGAAATATAACCCGTTATGTATTGTCTGATGTGCCGTCTTTTCTTTTTACCACGTTAGATTCTATTAAGAAATCATTTCTAGTAGTTCGACAAAATTGTTCAAATAATCTAAATATATCAGTTATTAATGCCCAAGATTATAAAGCATTTGTTAATATGATAATTTAATCAAAATATTTAGGTTTAGAATGAGATAACGATTTTTAAAAACAGTATGAAAATCATTTGAGTACAGGATAACAACAGAATTTCAGTAAAAATCCCAGATTCGATTTTTCTCCGTTCTAAGCCAATCTTATTTTCCACAATAGTTAAAATAAACTTATGACAGAGGGAATAAAATAAATAAATAAATAAATATGCTTCGGACTATGTATTTTATTTCTCTCTCTTGAGAATTTCTACTGAAGTTCCTAAAAATAGAACTAGACTTTTCCTAGATGTTGTAATCTTAAAAATAATGTCATTCATTATTAAATATATACAGTTTTACTGTACATCCATAAATGCAAAATTCATAGCAGGACAGCTTTCATTTACATGATAAAAATGACAATTTCTACTGAGGTTCCTAAAAATAGAACTAGACTTTTCCTAGATGTTGTAATCTTAAAAATAATGTCATTCATTATTAAATATATACAGTTTTACTGTACATCCATAAATGCAAAATTCATAGCAGGACAGCTTTCATTTACATGATAAAAATAAAAATTTATACAAAACTGAGCAAGTTCTTGATTTGAGACATTTCTTCATATTTATTTAAATTTTTTGTGTAATTTTTTTTAAATTAAACTTTATTACATAACGGACGGTGTTATGGGGTTATAGACATCATTTTTAATTGTAATGAACAGATTCTGGAATTTTTCAAGCTAACTATTATTTATGGCTTTGATAAAGCCGAATCGCAAGATGTTTCTTGTTGATACCAAATCTAGAGTACTTAATCATTTTTGAATTGTTGGAATTCTTTATTTTTTGTCATCGCAGATTTATACTATTAACGGTTGATTTTTTTTCTTTTTAATTATAGAAAGTAAATAATTGTTTATTATAACGTTTACTATTTTTAAGTGTAAAAAGTTATAATTTAATGCATTTATTTATTCTTTAACTGTACTTAAACTCTGTACGTAATTAATCATTAGGAAAATAGATTACATATTTATTAATTTGATATTTGCAATAAGACAGTACACCTAAAAAATAATTTCCATTCTTTATTTACTAACAAAGATTGTGGCAGTTTTGACTCTATAGACAAACTGCTGGCAACTCAACATTACAACAAAAATGATGATCTATTTACATAAACTGTATTTCTATGTACAACAATTCTGCTGAACAAGTCTTATAATCAACATACGATCGAATATTTAAATTACTAGAATTAAAACAAACAAAAATTTGTCATTTTAAACATATACACAATAAAGGAAGGTTAATAAATAGCTGCTGATGGAGCTTAAGAATCTCTACATGACATATGGCAATTTCATGCGGAACATAACATGAACGTATCGACGCTTTGTTAATAATACAAAATGGCAAAGAAGCGTCTGGATGAGCCGACAGTGATTTAATGGACTTAGCTTTGTTCTGTTGAAATTGGACTAAACAGAATGAATGATGAGCTGTGAATGATATTGTTTGAATAGCAGGTACGTATCCGTTTTATTTCAAAAACGATAGTGTATCACTTCGTAACATCATTTTGCTAGTTGTACTGTTTCTACGAGTTTGAGAAGTTCACAACTTGCAGTTCACGGCACATCCCAAAAACCAATCTTTTCGTTGTAAGCACGCCATTCACACGAATACCGTGATGGTTATAGCATTTGATTCATTCTGTCTGGACGGATTTTGGGGTGTTGGGTCACACGTCAGCGACACCCACATCCTTCCACCACCATATCCTGGTAGTTCTTCAACACCACTGTGTCGTATTCATCGACATATAACATAGCTATCGCCGACAGTTCTGTAGGCACGCAGCAGGCTTGCGGTATTGTGGCCGGATTAGTTGAATGCACTAACGTCTGAATCACCGCATGGTTAGTAGCATTCATATGTGCTGATAACGGAAACTGGCAAATGCCATGACAATAGTAAGCATTGTACCCGGGAGGTGCTACGATCCAATCGTTCCACCCGACATCACTAAAATCGACATACAGAGAATGACGTCGACATACTTTACCACGATTTCTGCGCTTTTTACCGCTTCTTTTCTTTCTACTCGATTCTTTGTTTCTGCCATCAGCAGAGTAAGTAACAAGCAACGGTTGCTGAGTCCAAGTTTCAGTCGATCTCCTGAGTCGAATATTATGATGTTTTGGAGTTGATTTTCCATCTTTGCTTGTCACTCGTACATGAAGTCCGTGATTGGAAGATGGCTTGGATTGCCATCTAATTACGGCTGGTAAAACATCGAGACTAATCCATTCAGATTTACGTGCATCTACCACCCTAGTATCGACCAACCTCAATAGCGCTTCTGTCCGTCCTTTAGGTGGTCGTACTACGTCGTACACCTGTACACGTTGTTTAAGACAATCTTTACACTTATGTCTATAAATTCGGAGCTCGGCCGCTCGTAAATTCTCAGTTGTTGGAACACTAGTTAAATTGAAGAGATAATAAATTGAGTTGCTGTCCGAATCTTCAAAACTACCTTCTGAAATATAAGTACGCAAAGCTTTTAGTAATAAGTTTTCATTTTAGTTTAGATATTATAGTTATAATTTTCTATACTTTTATTACTTTTCATTTGCGATTAATTATAGTATATTCAAATTAAATTTATTTTATAATCTAATATTTTAAATGAAAAATAATGTTGCAGTATTTATTCTCTAAATATTTTACAAACAATAAAAATTAAGTGTGTTAAGTTTAATAATAATAATAATAATCACATAAATATAATACAATCTATGACACTGAATTGTGTGTTTATACGCTTCCTTTTTATTATAATACTTATTTATCTTAACCAATAAGTTATGATAATTTTAATTCAATTGAAACTCTAACATTATTAACATTCCTATGACCTTATTTTAGTCTACATGTATCCTAAGAAATAAACTGATGATTATTACAACAACTTAACACTTAATTTTTATCGTTTGTAAAAATATTTGGAGTTTATCCGTTCAAACTTTCATATACAATTGTTATACATGCCATAAAGACTGTATTATCATTAAATATGTATGTGTATATGACTTCTTAATTGGTAAAATTTATTAAAACAGTTTTAAATCCGACAAAGCTATAAGCAACCAGTTACTGTTAATTATAATTTTGGACACTAGATGGCACTACATCGACAATTAAATCAATAGAAGTGCCGATGTTTTGTGTTTAGCGTTTCTGTTTTAAATGAAGTATAACGTTATTTAAAATTTAAAATATATATTTATATCGAAATAGTTGTGCAAATATAAATATATACATTCAAAATTTTAATAAAATGCAATTTATAAAATTTTAAAGACATGTAAAACGTCTTTAATAAAACTGATAATTAGGTTATTAAAATGTACTGTATATAAAAGTAATTATCATTATCAAAGCTGGAAGAAAACAGGTAATGTTGTCTGTCATTAAGTTTATTTAAAATTTATCATTATTATGCACCACTATCGATCAAAAACGACTGTCGTAACTGTTTAATAAAACAAACTATATTATTATTTTATCTTCAGATTTCATAGATTATGTTTGAAGATAATGGCTAATTATCGTTTAATTGCAAAAAAAAATAACTAATTCCATTAAGTATTTTGTCGTCTTACATTGTATCAGCACATTCCAGAGAAACTACATAATATACAATCATTTTTCTATCATAATAATAATAATAATAATAATAATAATAATAGTATTGAAGTTTAACTTTGTTTTTTCAAAATGTTTGTATTGGTTATTTTTATTATTTTAAATATTTATAACTTTTAAAACACTTTCAGCAGATTAGACAAGATTATATAATTTTAAAAGATTTATTTTTGCTTCATTCATACAATGTAAACTTTAATGCAATAATAGCAATGATCTATTAATGCTTTATTTCTGAAACTATTTATTATAAAGAATAATTAAAGTACAAGGAAAAAAACAGATGGAAAAAATTCAAACTTTAACCATTTTTTGATATGGTTAAGTTGTGTTTTTATTTTTTAATTTTAATTTCTAGTTAAGATGATAATTTACTTGTTTGAAGTATGACATCATAAAAACATTTTATTCCATAATTCAATCTCATGTTTTTAAGAAGACAAGTTAATATATAAATCGTGATTAGGAAGTGTAAGTAGTTAAAAATGCTTTATTCTAGTAATGAATTATTTATGTAAATAAACTTTTGTATTTCATAGTAATTTCTTTGAAAGAATAAATCTTTGAATAATTTTTAAATATTTAGATAGTTAAATGGACTTAAAAATTTATATTATATTTTAAAAAATTATATTGAAACTATTCTGAAAATAAATATTGTACTTGGAAATTATACTTATAGTTTTTTATTATTAAATCATGTAAATGATCCTGATTATGTAAATGTGTAACATTTCAAATAATTTATTTAAGCAATTAACGTAAAAATATATTTTTAGAGCGTTTATGATGACATAAATATACGATGTAATATTTGAAAATAAATTATAACTAGAATTCAAGTCAAATTTAAATATTTAAGTACAGTATATATTTTTATATACAATATAGATTTGTTTTATATTATTCAGTTTATTAAAACGTTATATTAGAATATATGAATTTTTATTAAACTTTATTTCAATTAATAAATAATTATTTCATTTTTATAATAAATTTTTGTGCCCAAAAAATTATTATTAATATTATTATTATTATTATTATATATTGNGTGGAATTTATTGTAAATTTATAAAATTATTGTTAAGATCATTTTATAAATTAGATATGTTGAATAAGATATGAAAATATTTGTGTGCTTACTATATTATATAACATATATTATCCATAAATATTAACTATTTATAAAACCATGTAATCATTTTTAAGAATTTTTAAAATTACATTAAATTTGTCAATACTGTGTTTTAAAATATAGTATTATCTTATTAGAAATATGTACAGTACATAACTATTGATTTCAGCTATTTTAATTTAATAACAGAGTTTCATATATCAAAAATTTAGATTTTAGATTCTATTTTTTAACGTTACGTATAATGATGTTGAGGAACAATATTCTTACCTTCATATATATGACTTCTCACGACATTGGCTGATCCAGGCATAGGCTGTTTAATGTGCACATCTCGAATGTCTACATGTTCATTGTTCGCTTGATGCCTATACAACTCCATCATGTATTCTGGCACATTCACACTTCTCTTAGGTTTTGGTCTCGACTTCAAACCAAACACATTCAGCAATCGTGCTTCAAAGGCCTTTAATAAGGCTTCTTTTTCAGTGGAAGACTTGCTGATTTTTCCGAGTAATCGTCCCCGGACCTCTTCTGGCATCAGATCGGTTTGAGATCCAGCTACGATCACTGTTAAACTGAAAAGTACGATGCAGAACATTCGGCTTCGCCTGAGCATGGTGGGACACCTGGCAATCAAACAGAAAAAGTTTTGGATGAATCATCATCGCAACAATCGATTTGCTCTGCTTATGAATAATTAAATCGGACATAGAGTTCCATTTATTTCATTGAAAGTTTATTTTTTAAAAATTAATCTATTAAATTTAAAAATCGTTAATTTCATTTAAAAAATAATTATTATTAAATATTTTGAAAAAATTAAAAATAAAAATATTAAGAAATTATTTATTAAAAAGTATTCTAGAAATAATCAATAAAAATAATTTTATATAAAATAGATGCAAAATATTATATAAAATATATTTTAAATTGACAAAAATGTAGTTTAATTAAGAAACTTTTTTAAATATGGACATTATTTACTATTGAATCATAAACTAATAATAGTAAAATTTTCCTAATACAATCTATAGTAACAATAATTTACATTTAATAGAGTGAGTACATCATTATAAATACTATTAAAGCTTAACTTTTTATGAATACAAATTAATTTTTAAAATATTTTAATTAGCTACTTTAAAATAAACTGTAATTTTTTAAATAAACTTTTGCAAACAAAAGGAACAAGTTATATGCATTTATGAAAGAACTTTTGTGCAAGATTGAACGATTGTTTTGACTCTCAAACTGATAAAAGGAAAAACTCAATTTCATTCTAAACGTTGTATGTAATTAATCATATTAAATGAACAAATGGAAATATTTGGTGAATATTTGCAGTAAAGGTGTTTATCATTCATTAAGATCAATCGTTCATCATTGAAAATGATTGAGAAATCTACGGACGTGGCACCAACTAATAATGATGTTTTTACCATCAATGTCACCCTTCGTCCTGATTCAATTCAGCTGTATAATTACTAGACATGTCATAGACAAAAGTGAACTAAGATGACTGATCGATATGGTGCTATTAAACCATGATAAAGATTTATTTTCGGAAATTATATTAGATGCTAAGAAAAAATAGATGTAGCCTATACAATTCGTACGTTAATTGAATTCATATAGAAATTATGATAATTTCATTTTTCAAATAAGCATTGCTTAGTAAATTAGTTTAAAACTAAGCTGAGATTTTCGAACTTTGAAATTTGATTTCTTCAGTAACATTTTGATTAATTGAATATTAAATATTATGATTTACAAAAACTAAGTATAGAGTGAAATCAGATTTTTTAATGTAATAATTCAATTATCTCGTTTTGTTATAACCCGTATAGAGTACTGTATGTATAAAGTATAAACTTACAATTTCTCTTAAACTCTATCTCAATAATTGGCCGTAAAATCTCTATTTAATAGTCCAAATTCCAATTTTCTGATTAAAATTCTGTATCTTCGTATTAGCCTCTGCTCGAGTTTATTAAGAAGATTGTTAATAAGCATAAAAATGTGGCAATGATTTATTTTTTACTGGAAAAATAATAGTTTGCATTTAAAAATGAGAAAATTAATGCAATTCATTGCCATTACAATTGAAATGCTTATTCTTGAGAAATAGCTTCGACAAACAATACGTTAACAAGAAAAAGAAAGATCATTTATCATCTTTTAATAATTATAAGCACAGACTAACATTTAAAAGGTGCTGCTTGAATTTGTTTAGAAAAGAAAACCAGAAATATTTTAAGTGGCAACAAAATTGATGACGCTTTGACAGATGATCTAGAATGGAAACCCTCTGGCGGTTTAATTGAGAATATTAATTATTGTTTAATGAACTGAAATATTTATTTTGATCTCTCATTAGGTTATTGTTTCAACAAGAAGTAATTCATATAAAAGATTCGCTTCTTACTTATTAATAACGTACTGTATTCGAACAAACGAAGAACACGAAGCAAAAGCCTCTTTCGTAACCTTAATCTGTACTGCTGTGAACTTACGTAAGTTTGTTAAAATGACCTTAATAAGTTAATATTATTAAATTAACGAGGTAATGTGTTAAGCTATTTAAATCTAACATCATCTGAAATGATAGCGGAAAAATACTAAATAAATTTTTACAGAAAGTAACTTTATAATTGACAAAAGTGAATGTTTAGATGCTTTTTTTAATTTATTTATTTGTCAACTTGAAGCACTAGTACATTGTGAGCTAAATGACCGGCTTCAAGAATGCCCATTATGGACGAACTGATCTATTATGGGATTGATCAGCATGCTCTGATTGATATTTTTTTTCATTGCTTTTTGAAACATTTAAACTTTATATCGAAAAATATATTTGAAGGTTTTTAATGCAAATATATAATTGAAATGATTAATTTTTAAGATGTCTAACCAATTACTGTATATAATTTGTTGCTCATTTTTTCATGCTGTGATATTATATATACTGTTATCTTACCAACGTGTTGCATATTATATTGCATATTACATGCAACACATTGTTAAAATACCATAATGGACTTTCATTCATTATAGTAGATTCGAGCTTGTAAAAGCTAAAATCTATGTAAATCTATAGTGTAAAAAGCTAATGCATTATTGATATAAATGTAATTAATACAAATTTTACAGTTTGATTTATAAATAACGTAGCATTATTACAATTGAAATTAAATGTGTATGCGGGAGAAAATCATTTTCAATCTTTTTTAAATGTTTAATATAGCTCAGACGAAATATTTAATAGAAGATGCACGTGGAAAAATTTAAGTTAATAACGATGGCAAACTTTAAAGAAATCTTTCTACAATATTCTTGTGCACAATCACTTAACTTCTAGTAGTTGAATCTTATCAATAATAATCACAATCTAGGTTGTTGTATACAGTTTCTACAAATAGCAATAGTAAAATAAAAGAAAAACAATTATAAACGAAATAAAGAATTTGGTTGTTTTATATCATTTCATACTGTAGGTGTATCGCTTCTAAACTAAATCATTATATGAGTAATGTCCGGCGAGAATTGGAACTATTACAGAGAATGATGAACAGCGCCACGCATTGTCAGTAGGGCTTGGGTCATTTATGAATGTAAGGAGAGACGACAAATGATCTTCTCGATTGTCATGCCCAATTATACTGCTACGTAGCGTCAAACTACTAATTGGAAGGTCAAAATTTGCCTTCTGGTGGTTAAATTGTTACATCAAATGATTATAATTTGATATCCTTAGCTGATAACTAATCGTATGGGTTATTAATATCGTTGCAATTGATTATAGTATTTTAAATTGAAATTTCTATCAAATTAACAAAAAGCTTTATATTATATCATTATTAAATAATTGGAGTAACGAATTACTTTAACAGTTTAAAATAGAAAGTTTTATGAAAATATTCGTTTATTCAGTTATTATATGGAATAGAGCAGAATCTATGTGGATAGTCTCGGATGACGTCATTAAGTAATTATCATCCCATCATGCAACTGTTTTATAGTAAGTCAGTCGCGGGTTTATCCAAGCAGACGTGTTCTTGTTAAAAGAAGAAAGTTTAGGAACAAGTGGACAACTTATGTTCTAATTATACAGTAGTTGATTCATCAGACATATTATTGCACAATAGTCAGTAATGTGATTCCAAGATACGACTTCATGTTGTTGAAAAATGCCTATTTTACAGTTTGAAATGTTGTGTTTTATACGGTTTTTAATATGTTTTATTTAATTAGAGATTAGTCCGCAATACTTGATTTCTTAATTTAAATACTTTTTTTAAAAAATAATGAATATAACATTATGCAAAGCAGAGATTTTACTTTAAAAATTAAGCATGCAAAAGAAAGAATATTTATTTGAAAATAGTTATACTCTTCTCCTATGTTACAAAATACTATGCTTTTTTTAAAAAAGCACTTCACAAAAGTATTACATCATATAGCACCATCATGTGAGACTTTAGAATACCTCTCCGATATTAACAAAATAAGATATAATTATAATTTACATACGTATTCAGTTTAAAGTAAGATAGAAAAAGATTCATTTTGAAACGTGTCCCTGGCCTGGATGTTTTTGATATTCTCCTGGAATGGGATTCACAAAAGGGTGCAGATTATACAAAAGCAACCGGTTTGTGCATGGCACAAATTTGCGTGCTAAATGCACCAAACAAGAAATGTCCTTCTGATTGTTTAAGTGATAATTGCCATTGAAAATCCGAGTCTTATGTGAATGAAAACTAAGTCCAAAGAATAATTTTTAACGTCACAATTGTAAGAAATAGGGAAAAATGAGAACTCAATAAATGATTTCTAGGAGCAATTTTTTTCTTTTTTAAATTCTACGAAACGAGCTTACGCTGAATCTTTAATGAAAGAATCACTACAAATAAAATAATTTTTTCCAATTAAACAATTTTAAAGTTAAAAATAATTATTATGGATAAATAATAGTTAACAGAAACGATTTTAAAATGTGTTTTAAGTTATAGACAAATACAGTAAAAACGAAAATTAAAATACAAAGTTTTAAACAGTTATCTTTATAATATCTAAAATTAAAAAGTTTCAGTTTTCTATAAATTAACACTTAACTTTACGAATTATTTTAAAATTAATTCTTTTTAAAATTTTCAATATATAAATTTCGAAATCACTTGTATATTATATAATGTATATAAGATTTTGAAATTTGTAGGCTATGTGTGTAACTTACACAATTTTATATCTATAAATAGATCAAATTTAGATGCGGGGTGTTATTAACAGTCAGACTTACTATATTAATATTGAAATTTATTTAATCTTTGAATTCTGAAATGTTTTTCATAAATTATTATATTTTGAAACGCATTAAAAAGTTTAAATTTGGTTCAATTTAAAAAGTGTAAAATTCAAATTAAAATAATTCCTCCTGATTATTATGTAGTTTATTAAATTTTACAGTCATAATTAATCTGATCTTTTCAAAAACAATGTTTTTTAATCTGAAAATAAATGGAAAATTTATATTCAAGTTAAAAAATTTAATTAGGAATTAAATAATAAAAATTAAAGAACGATAATTTATAATACAAATGTATAATAAAACGCGGAGTTTTATTTT